GTCCAGGAGAGGTGCAGGGAGTTGGGAGTGGCATCTGTGACAGCCAGCTCCCCCAGGCGGGGCTTGACGGGAGACTGGGGGGTGGTGGCGGGAGGGTCTGTTGGGGCCAGGGTGATTTCTTCCTCCATTCCTCGGGCTGGATCAGGAGACAAAGAGAACGGAAGGACATAGCTCCCTTCCAACAGGGGCTTTGAGATTTCTTCCAGACACACCAGTGCCTGCAGTGGAAGCCAGTACCGCAGGGTTAAGACATCATGTCTGGGGCATCCCTGATGGCCTAAGGGTTAAGACTCAGAACTATCACCTTGACAATCTGAGTTCAATCCCCGGCCAGGGAGGTGACCCACATGGCGCAGCAGACCTCTCTTGTCTCCCCTGCTGCTCCCCTTAGAAGAGTGTTTCAGTCAATCCGCCTGTCCTGCTCCCCACTGTCTCTGGTGAATCCTCTCACCCCCTGCACCTCTGGCATGTAGCCTAGCTCTTGTATGCATAAATAAGTAAACTCTTTTTTTTTTTTAAAAGAGTTGAATTACAAAATTATATTCATATGTCTGTTCTGTTTGGGAACTGGGTTAAGCATCTGGGGAGTGACAGTTTAAAAAGGGCTTAACAAAGCTAACACAGCAGCCTATTAGAGAGTGATTCATGGAGGGAAAGAGCCGTGTGAAGCTTTGCAGATGAACACTAAGTATTGAAATAACCGTGTCCATGTGAACAGGACTCGGTCTTGACTTAGCATACATGAGTACCCATGTGGGGAACGCGTCCAATTTTCCCCTCTGAATTCAGCGACTACCATGTGAATTCACACGAAGGGTTTCAAGAACTTTGTTCAGAAGGGGTAGCCTGTGGTTAACAGTCCTTGTGTGTGAGACACATGGTGCCATCCGGCGTGGAAGGAACTTCCTACAGTGAGGACGTATGGGATCGCATGAGTCTGAGGCTGCAGCTTCCCTGGGCTGAGATCTGGGTCAAACTCAGGCCTCCCTGCCTCTCCAGGTCCCTGGTGCTCTGCCTTTTCTAGGCTGCAAGAAGCCCACATGCAAAGGGCACCGTGGCTCGGGTGACAGCAGAGGCTTGGCACGAAGCACAGCTCCCAGGACCTTGGCAGGGTCAGTCTTAGGGATAGTGGACTAAAATACCTGGATACGGGGCCCTCCCTGGTGGCGCAGTGGGTTGGAGCACTGCACTACGAAGCTAAGCCAAACCGTGGCCACTTCAGAGCGAGTTTGATCCCCACCCCAGAGCTGACCAAGATGGCGCGGCAGACCTCTCCTGTCTCACTCACTGCTCCCCTCAGCAGCGTACTTGGTCAATCTGCCTGTTCTGTTCCCCACTATGTTTCTGGTGAATCCTCTCGCTGCCCCTGCACCTCTGGCCTACCTTCGTCCCATTTCTGTATGCATAAATAAATAAAATCTGAAAAAAAAAAAAAGAACTTAGTGCTTAAAAAACAAAAACAAAACCTGGATACTGACATGACAATGAAAGGGAAGCTGAGTCCAGCTCAGGGGAGGGCCCAGTGTCTCACAGTGCAGCCACCAGTTACAATGACAGTGGAGGGCCCTCCCTGGTGGCGCAGCGGGTTAAAGCACAGAAGTGCACTTCTTCAGTCGGCCTGTTCTGCTCCCCACTCTGTCTCTGGTGAATCTTCTCACCACCTCTGCCTCTGGCCTGTACCCCAGTTCTGTATGCATAAATGAATAAATCTTAAAAAAAAAGTGACAGTGGAGATCATGGGGTGCTTCCTGCACCCAGATCATGTCTGAAGTGTTAAGTGAACAATGTGGGATTGGAATTTCTGCGTTTTGGGGTCCTAGGTCTCTAGTAGAGAACATTCTGGAGGTTCCACTAATGAGACCTTTCCCAAGACCCAAATCTAGAAGGCCTTAACTTAACCTCACTCACCGGTCGTGCCCACGGTGGACATGGGACCCGTTCGCTGGCCCCCGTGCAGGCCATACAGGTGCATCTTGTACTTGCGCCCCGGCTCCAGGCCCCGCACCGTGACCTCTCTCTCCTCACCGCCAACACGCACCACCTGCGGCCCGTCCCTGCCCTTGTACTGGACGCTGAAGGAGTCAAAGTGGCCCTGGGGGATGGTCCAGGAGAGGCTCAGCGAGTC